CCATCATCGAAGCTGCCAGTGTTGTTCCCACGGTGCAAGGGCGGAGACCACACCAGTTGCTATCATGGCCGTCACCTTGCAGCTGCCATCGCCCTCACCATAGATGGCCGCTCAATGTTGCAACCGGCGATGGTGTTTGCTGGAACCGCCTACACTACTTGTTGCGAGGGCTGTCACCTTGGAGCTGCCATGGCCTTCACCACAGATGGCTGCTTAGTGTTGCAACCGGCGATGGTGTTTCCTGGAACCGCCTACACAAATTGCTGGAACCGGCATTGTCAATTGCTCGAAACATGAGGCCGGAAGCTGCCAAAGTTGCATCTAGTAATTGTTTTGCTACATACGACATCGTTTTTTGCTGGAAGCAGCACGAGCATCGGCTATGACCGTTGGCACGGCGGAGCTGCAACCAGGTGAAAAGATGCTACAACCGGCGCATCAATGTGCTACGACCGACATTTTTATTTGCTCAGTCGAGTGTCGATGTAGCGGAGCTGCATCCGGTGACGTAATTTGCTACATCCGGCCATCGTTTTGCTGGAACCACCACGTGCTCGTCGTCATCGCACGTGGCTGGTCGGAACGCTGCGCCAGCTGTCAATGTTGCCATGACCACATCGTCAACACTACAACGACCATGTGATGCTCGTGACGACGACATCTCCGTGCTGCATCGGGTCGCAACAGGCCTACTGGCGATGACGACGACCTGTTTGAAGGACACGGCAGGGCTGTTTGCGATGGCGACCAGCTGGTGGCGATGACAGTGACCATGCGATGGTCGGGACGGCGACCAGGGTGACGAGCACGGTTGGTGTCGTTGGCCGGCAAGCGCGGGCAGCCAAAGACGAGCGTGGCCGGCGGTGCGCGAAGTCCTCCATGGACAGAAGCTACATGTCAACACGAGATGTGAAGGGGATCCGTGGGAAATCAACGACTGGAGGTTGTAATCCTATGACTGGGGGCGATTAGCCGAAATTTCATCCGGCCAGCCGGCGCCCAGTGGTCGTAAAAAAAATCAAATTCAATCAATTTCTAAGTTCCAGCTGTTAGATAAATGATAATAAGCCAGACACGTGTCACACGGATTTTATATAGAAACCCTTGCGAAAAAAACCACAGACGCACGAAGGCGCAATTCGCTATGATGGATGGAGAAGTATTACAACCACGAGGTGACATCCTGTCTTTAGGTGCAACTACATGGGGTATATACGAGTGACAATACATAAGAGTCATTGGAGGACAAGTAAACGAGTCCTACTCATAAGCATCGACATCAACGCGACACACACACCATTTGTATTACGTCCAGGCCAACACAGTAGAATTTGGATCACAATTTAGCAATCCCCATCTTGAGCCAAAATCCTTCCAGTAGTTAAACAAAGTAAATAACTCCATTCAAATCAGCATAAATACCTTGTGCGTCAAAGTCCATAGGGCTACTGAGAAATATCAACTAAGCCTGAGCAACACACAAACTTATTGGTAGGAACTGACTTTGTCATCATATCAGTAGGATTATCACGCGTACCTATTTTGCATGCCTTCAAATCACGTTCAATATAGCGAAATCTGACATTAATATGCTTTATTTTGTCATGATACATTGTATTCTTTGTAAGACATATAGCAATTTGTCTGTCACAAAATACGGTAGGGCAAGATGAATCTCCACAAAGATCAATTCATAAACCTTTCAATCAGATAGCTTCTTTGCATGCCTCAGAAATAGCCATATACTCGGCATCAGTAGTGGAACAAGACATAATAGACCGCAAAGTTACTCTCCAACTCACAACACAACCACCAATGGTGAAAACATAACCTATGAGTGATCTTCTCTTATCCAAATCACCAGCAAAATCAGAATCAACAAAACCAGAAAGTCTATCTGTAGTTTTCCCAAAATGTAAATAAGCATTAGAAGTACTTCGCAGATATCTAAAAATCCACTGAACTGCTTTCCAATGTCCTTTTTCAGGATTAGCCATGTATCTACTTACAGCACTCAATGCATATGATAAATCAGGACGAACAAACCATGGTATACATGAGTGAACCAACTGCACTCGAATAGGAAACTCTAGACATGTAGTCAATATCAGCATCTGACTTAGGACATAAGGCTGATGATCATTTGAAGTGTGCAGCTAACGGAGTACTCATCGGCTTGGCATTATGCATATTAAAACAACGAAGAACTTTATCAATATATCCCTTCTGACTTAGGTATACTTTTCCAGACGGTATATCTCTAGATATTTCCATGTCAAGTATTTTCTTTGCTGCACCCAAATCCTTCATCTCAAATTCATTAGTCAATTGCTTCTTTAGTCCATTAATATCTGACATGCTCTTTGCAGCAATTAACATATCATCAACACAAAGTAGTAAATAAATAGCTAAACCATTGACATTTTTCAAATAAACACAACTATCATAATTAGGCCTTTTGAAACCTTGAGAGAGCATAAATGTGCCAAATCTCTTGTACCACCGTCTAGGGGATTGTTTCAATTGATAAAGAGATTTCTTTAACTTATGGACAAGCTTTTCTTTTTTAGGAATAATAAAACCTTCAAGTTGTTCCATATAAATATCCTTTTCTAATTATCCATGTAAGAATATAGTTTTAACATCTAACTGTTCAAGCTCAAAATCATCCATGGCGACAAATACTGAGTAAAGTACGAATAGAGCTATGCTTCATAACGGGAGAAAATACTTCATTACTGTCAATACCTGGAATCTGGATATAACCTTTAGTAACTAACCTTGCTTTATATCGTGCCTCATCGTTAGGAGAAACACCTTCTTTTCTTTTAGAAACTCACTTGCAACGAATAGGTTTCTTCTCTGTGGGTAATTTGACTAAATCCAAGTTTCATTCTTTTCAAGTGATTCCATCTCATCATGCATAGCGGTCATCCACTTATTATTATCACTAGAAATAATAGCCTCGAAATATGAAGAAGGCACGACATTACCTTCAATTTCTTCCGCAATAGCTAAAGCAAAATAAATAATATTGCACTCTTTAATTAACCTTTCAGGTTTATTAATGCCCCGCCTAACTCTGTCACACGCGAGATTCCAACCGGGTGGAACAATAAGCTGATTTGGAGTGACATGTTCATCATCAACGATGGGTTCATCATGTGGATCAACATTTCCCTTATTGGATATATCACTGGAATTAATAACATGCTCCACCTGAACAGTAGGCTCCCGGACAATAGATTGCTACTTACTCTCAACAGGAACATCAGTAGATGGAGCATCATGTAACATATCTTCATCAAGTATAACATTTCTACTAATAATAACCTTCTATGTTTTAGGATTACATAATTTAAACTTTTAACATCAGATTTATAATCAAGGCAGATGCACTTAACATCCCTAGGCTCCAACTTTTCATTATCAACATGAGCATAAGGAGTGCAACCGAAAACTCTCAATTGTGAATAACCAGCAAAAGAACCAGACCATACCTCAAATTGGAGTTTTTTTATAAGAGCAATAGATGGTGACCGATTAATGAGATAACAAGCAGTGGAAGCAGCCTCGGCCCAAAAAGGTCTATGCAAACCTGCATTTGACAACATGCAACAGGATCTTGTCCTGTTCATACACTCAGCAACACCATTTTGTTGAGCAGTATGAGGAATGGCGTAGTGTCTAGCAATGCCTTCAGACTTGCAATAATTCTCAAATTGCATAGAACAGAATTCCATACCCTTATCAGTGCGGAGTATTTTTACCTTCTTTTTAGTTTGTCTTTCAATCGTAATCTTACACTCTTTAAAAGTTGAGAATGCCTGATATATATGCTTCAAGAAATAAGGCCAAACTTTTCTCGGGTAATCATCAGTAATAGTCAAACATATAACTAGCACCACCTAGTGACTTTCTGCGAAATGATCCACATAAATCAGAATGAACATAGTCAAGAATACCTTCAGTTGTAT